GGAGGAGGATCCAGATGAACGACACCACCATCGCCACGCCAAAGCCCGCCAGCAAGATCCACCACGTCATCTTGATGTCTTGGAACACGCCGTCCGCCACCTGAACCCCAGTCGTGACAGGTTAGCGGTAGAAATAAAACGCGTTTGGGGGTTTGTTTGCTTGTGTCCCATTACGATGTGGGATGAAAATTAGCTTTAACTTGGTATACTTGAGGGGAAAATTACTAGCAGTCATGAAAACCCATCTTTCTACCTTCTATGATCACTTGAATTATTTTCATGGTTACAAAGGGTATTTTCTTCAAAAAAATAAAAAGGAATTCTTTAATTGAGAATCAGGGAATAATGATCATGATAACAGAAAAAGAATCTTAAATCTAAAGCAAATTTTCTCTTTATAACATGCACTTCAGAGCTTTATTAACTTAAAAAAAAAAAAACTTCAAAAAGGAGACTTAAAATTCTAAATAATAAATAGATCTAACTTAAAACAAATATATAAAGACAATTTATTTTCACAGAAACTATCTTTTAAAAATGGCCACTCTAATATTCCTTGGAACAAAATATTCACACAACATGTAAAACAATATAAGCACAAGAACGAAAAGTGGAAATTACTGGTTAGTCAAAGTAATCATGCAGAGATCAAAAAGCAAAAAAAAAAGGTAAAACAAACAAACAAACAAACAAACACAGGCAGGAAGAAAAAAAGCAAGCAAGCACAAACATCATAAACAGATTTAATTATTTACAATTTCCTTTGAGTTTTGGAGGCACAAGCATGAAAATATATCTTAATGCATAGCAAGCAAACTAAAGCAAACACAAGCCCCCCCAAAATAAAAAAAAAAAAAAAAAAAAAAAAAAAAAAATTATAACTGTATAGCTTCAACAACTATACTAATTACCATAATTCTATTCCCTATCATAATCATGACCACATCAATGCCAATAAAAATAATAACACCCACAAATTCCATTCTTAAAATAAAGGTAATAATAATAATAAAAGTCGTAATACAGTAAAAACAACACCTACATGCAAGAGGAAATTCAAAATAAAAGTAAAAGGACCCACAGTCATCTACATCAAACAACAACAACAACAACAACAGCAACAACAAAATAATTCAAGAATAATAATAATCAATAACAAAATGAATCATAACAACAATAACAATTAACCAATGACAAAATGAATCATCATAAGAACAACAACAATAACAACAACAACAATAACAATAATAATAACAATAATAATAATAATAACAACAATAATGATAATAATAATAACAATTATAATAATACTAACAATAATAACAATGACAATGACGATGAAGATGAACATGATGATGATGATGATGATGATGATGATGATGATGATGATGACAATCAATAATAATAATAATAATGATGATAATAATAATAATAATACCTATAACAACAAAAAAACAAAACACCCAACATTTCAACTAAGGATGGCAATTTGGACAGACAGAGATGACAAAAGAAGACAGAATGACTTATAAAACCGATCCTGAATATTCCCTGATGGATTGAGAGACCTAAGCTGTTACCCCATAACCATCAGTCTCGTCCAAATTGCCCAAACTTGAAATTTTTTAAGAGCTAAGTGTCTCCATGCAGTCCATATACATTAAGGTTCTTTAGCTGTCGATCAGTTTTAAGAAGCCTAACCAATCAGCTTCCAAGCCATAGTATTATATCGATAAAAGATGAAAAAAATGTAAAAAATAAAGAAGACAAAGATATAAAACAAAACGGTTAAGGAAAACACGAGCAACCACAGCATAGGTTCCAAAAAAATGAATAAAAGGGAGGAAATTTTACTGTTTCTTTTTTTTTTTTTTTTTCTTTTTCTTTCTTTCTTTGGTTCTTTTTACCTCTGATGCTTGGTAAAACCTGGCTAGAAACTTTGACGCCTTCGCTAAAAGCTCGCCCGTCACCGGTTCTTTGTCATCGTCCAATATCGGCACGCCATCCATATCGATAACCCCATCAGGCACTTTCGGGATGCATCGACCAGCCACTAAAATTCAAAGATTAACAGCTACATATAACTGTAGGCAAGAAAGAAGTATATAGCAATATCTGCTTTGAAAGACAAATACTGAAATCTTCTTCTTCTTTTTTTTTTTTTTTTTTTTTTTTTTTTTTTTTTTTTTTTTTTGCTTATGTTAATAATGATAATGATCATGATATGGGTAAGGAAAATCCCTCCTCTATTATGACATTTACAAATGTAAAAGAAGTAAGGAAAAACACCCTTGGATTTTAAATTTTGATGGTAACTTATATGTACTAATCTCTCAAAATTTCCTTAAGAGAGACCTTACAATATCAACTGCATATTACAATATTTGTACAAAATCTGCAATATATGCAAAATTTGATCTAAAACCTATGGCATAAATGGATTCTATGTTACAATGCCAAACAAAATTAAATATAGAATCCTTAAAGACAAAAAGAAAAA